TCCAGTTTAGCTGAATTCAGAGGTTTTAGATTGAATCATTGACTTTGCAGAATTCCCTCCCCCTGGCTGAACAAGTAGATAGTTGTTTGCTTTGCAGTGTTGACTCTGCATTAGTCCCTTATACTAAGGATGCATGTAACGATGGTGGAACGGAAAGGTCCCCTTTTAACAGAAAGAAACATTCAGCTCAGTGTGAGCGGCTTTCTGCCGTAACTGTCTGGGGGTTTGAAAGGATCAAGCTGACACAAAGAAATACAGAAATGCTGATCCAGGAATACCTTTTATATTAGAGAAGGTAATAGTAGGTTAGCTCCAAAGGTACCTTAGTTTTGGAAAGAAATAGAGCTAACTAAATGTATTGTAATTTGAATACACAAATGCTTAACACTGCTTCAATATAGAGGTGCAGCCTTCTGATACTCAGATTGAATATCGACTCTAGTATTGTCTAATTGGCCAGATCGGATATCGAATAAACGACCCTGATTCAGCTTTCAATCCAGTAATTTTTTTATGATTTAAGAAGAAATACAAATATACTGATCTAGTCACTTAAATTTTACTTCAATTTTAACAATGCTTATGTCGAGCATGATGCCTTTGCTCACATGGCAAGGTATAAAGTGAATTCATTCGGATATCAGCCAACACACTCAGTCCATGTATCTGTACTGGTGTAGGTCTGGAAAAAAAATGGATCAGTGCATTTCAATACATTTTAACCCAAGTAAAGTATTTGGTGCAAAGAAAGTTTAAACACCTTATTTATACTGATAAAAGCAACAATTATATGCTGATTTTGGTACTTTTAAATGCTTTAAAAACGTGTGATCAAAATAAAACAAAATGTTTAATTCAATCGATAAAAAAAAAAAAGATTAAAAAAAAAATCTACCTTTTTGTTAATTTAAAACCAGTACTTTAGTTATAGAAAACCAAGCCAAATATTTTTTTCACTTGTGTTAATAGTTCTCAACGTCATAGTTTCATGATGTCATTCATATATTCATAAATGCCACACTTCCAAACTAAATATTTAATTAGCAAGTTAAGTATTTATTTTACCAGCTCTTATGTTTACCTTCAAAGCTTAATATTTAATTATTAATCTAAATATTACATTAAATTATCAACTAAATATTTACTTAGCAAGCAAAGTTTTTGCTATAAACTGAATATGCAAGTCCATGCTAAACATCAAGATAAGAATAGTGATACTAGTTATTGTTTATTTAAATAATCTAAAGTTTGAGCTTTATCAAGCAAAAATAAAAAAAATTAAGAACTTGTTTTTCACTTGCATCAAGGGGAGCTTTCCATTAATGGTGCGCATATATATGTATATATATGTGTGTGTATATATATTAAAATGGAGGGTGTTTCTCTGAAATGCTGCCAGATAGCTGCTACTTAATTTCAACTTTAATTTATCTTTAATTTTAAGTAGACTGTAATTGTGATGGTTACTGATATAAATTTTTAACGTGTAATCCAGCATTCAGTGCCGCATTACAGGTGGTAAATGGGTGGTTAAATGGGCTATTTAATTAAGGAGTGTTTATATTTACATACATTCTATTCAGTTCAGTTTATCTAGCACCAATTTACAACACAGGCCATCTCATGGCACCTTACAGAGACAATTCAACCGATCATACATGCATGCACATTGTGCATACTACATCCTTGTTGCCATTAAACAGTATAAATAATCCCTGTTCAGACTCTTGCTCAGTTGGTTTTCCTGCTCTAGCTTGCTACCACTCTGCTTTTAACATCTCTTGCAAAATACCTGAGGCTTTGTATAAAAATAAATGGCTCTAGTGGACCACAGTAATATTGCAACACTAAAATAAAAATACCTTTTTAAGTGGATGTTATAAATTAAACGGATTGAAATAATATTACTCAACCATTAATCGTAAATGAATAATTTACCTCATTTACAAACTAGTTTGTAAACTAAATATTAATTAAACTTGCTAATGAAATCTCTAATTTGGAGGTGAGACATGTAAAAATATATGAATGTCATTGTACAAATATGAAAACTGGACCCCCCAGTTTGTATCTCGGTTTAAATACAAGAAAATATTGTCAGTTTTTTTGGGGTAAAAAAAGTCAATAAACAAATACACTGACAAAGGTCTTTTTGCGAATCACTAAAGACCTCATTTGCACCAGTTAATCAGACTGTGAAAAAACGTTTTCAATGGCAGAGCTCCTGTTGACAAAGCTTCAGACGATCCCCAAAGCCATTGGGAAACNCACACACACACACACACACAATTTGTTTTATTCCATTAGTGTGTTTGTAGGCCTTCATGTTGTATTCTGGGGTTAGTCATTCAGTTTATTTAAATAAGGGCAGTTTACAACAGGTGTCGACTCAAAGCATTTTAAAGAGTTGGTTAAAAAATTTCCATCTAAGATAGGGATGGGCAACTTTAGTCCTCAAGGGTCAGTTTACTGACACTTCCCTGCTCCAACACACCTGAATTAAATGATCGGAAAATTACCACCACTCTGGAGACCTGCTACTTTAGGTGTGCTGGATAAAGGACAGATCTTGAAGTTGCAGGACACTGACCCTAAAGAACTGGAGTTGCCCCTTAGCTAAGAAAATCCAGCTGATTGAATTGTTATTCTCTCATTCTGTGTAGCGCAATTTCTTAACTGTAAGAACTCAGAATCAGTTATTGGGACCATAGTGCCGAAACTGGACAACCTTCAGCATTAAAGATGACATTGTGCAACAGAAACAAATGAATATTGGTCATATGCAGGAATACAGCCTCTGACTCACTTCCAGTTTAGCTGAATTCAGAGGTTTTAGATTGAATCATTGACTTTGCAGAATTCCCTCCCCCTGGTTGAACAAGTAATTAAATTTCTAATTTGGAGCTGAGACATGTAGAAATATATGAATGTCATTGTGCAAATATGAAAACTGGACCGCCAGTTTGTATCTCGGTTTAAATACAAGAAAATATTGTCAGTTTTTTGGGGTAAAAAAAGTCAATGAACAAAAACACTGACAAAGGTCTTTTTGCGAATCACTAAAGACCTCATTTGAACCAGTTAATCAGACTGTGAAAATACGTTTTCAATGGCAGAGCTCCTGTTGACAAGGCTTCAGATGATCCCCAAAGCCATTGGGAAACTATTCTGTAGACTGTCATGTCAAAAGTTAGTTTTTGTTAGTTTTTTTTTTTAAACTAAAACAAGTAGTTTTCACAGCCAGACCATGCTGACGGTTAAATATGGTCGTGGTAGTATGATGGTTTTGGACAACGACTTTTAAAGACAAGACAGCTTTCCATCACTGTTGAATTTGGAAGTTAAACATCCAGCCCTCTATCAGACACTTTAATGTGCTTTAATTAAATAATTTATTTCAGTAAAAATTTTAGACACATTACTGTTTATTTTTAGTGCACACTTTTGATGTCAGTTTGCTATTAAGCTTGGCAGGAGGTAAAACAAACTAGAACCTAACCAAATGTGTTCAGGTATAGGGCTGATTACTTCTCCACAGAGGTTTAGGTTAGTTTAGCCATATTTGCGTTAATAAATAAAATCATATTTTATAAGCAGTTATCTTTATCCAATATGAACTTGAATTTGATGTGAAAAATTTAGGAAAAACAAATGTTTTTCAAAGCACTGTAACTTTCTTTCGTTTGTCACATAAATGCATTGCGGTGTGTGCGTCTGTCTCATTTAATTCCAATAAAATAGTGATAGTTGTTTTTATAACATGCTATGACGTGCAAAACTTTTATTTATTCAAATACTTAAGCTGTAAAACTACAGCCTATTGTTCATCTGCTTATTTTCATGCTTTTTCTTTACAGTAAGTGGGAAAGGTTTGACTGGGACAGCGACAGATGAAGGTATGTGGCTCAGCCCTAAAAGCAAAGCAGCCCTGGAAAGCTCCATAACAACAGTCTTCCTCCCCATCGTCTACATCATCGTGTTTGCCATTGGGTTGCCCACCAATGCCCTGGCCTTATGGGTCTTCCTCTTTAGGACCAAGAAAAGGCACCCGTCATCCATCTACATGGCCAACCTGGCTCTTGCTGATTTGATGTTTGTCATCTGGATCCCCTTGAAAATAGCGTACCATTTTAAAGGTAACAACTGGATCTTCGGTGATGGGC